ATATATATATATATATATATATATATATATATATATATATATATATATATATATATATATATATCTGGGGTGTATACGCACAATACACATATTACAAACAAACAAACCCAGATAAAACACCTCCCCTGAAAACAAAAACCCAAACCCTAAACCCCAAACCCTAAACCCTAAACCCTAAACCCTAAACCCTCACCCGAGGCAGCAGCGCCTTGTCAATCGGCAAAATGCATCTGGGGAGATTCGCCACCGTCCCTTGAGGCGTCAAAAAGAAGTGCTCCGTCTTCTGAAACACAAACCCTAAACCCTAAACCCTAAACCCTAAACCCTAAACCCTAAACCCTAACTCTCAAACCCTAAACCTCGAACTCTATGCCTCAAAACCCTAAACCCTAGACCCTAAACCCTAAGCATCTCAAACCCAAAACCATAAAACCCTAAAACCCTAAAACCCTGAAACCCTAGACCCCTAGACCCCTAAACCCTAAACCCTCAAACCCTAAACCCTAAACCCTAAACCCTCACGGGTTCGCTTTTTTCTTCAGCAATTTTCGCTGTCTTTCCCCCTTCACCAAACACAATTCTCCGCACTGTCTTTGCACTTGCTTCTTTTGGGGGCCCCCCCTTGGGGGGCCCCCCTGGGGGCCCCCCCGCCTCCTTCGCTGCTTCTTTTGCTGTCTCCTTAGGCACCTCCTTCGGTGCTAGCTTTGTTAGGGGCCCCTTGGGCCCCTGGGGGGCCCCCTTCGGTGGTTCCTCCTTGGGGGGCCCCTCCTTGGGGGCCCCCTCTTTTGGAGTTTCCTTGGGGGGCCCCTCCTGCTTAGCCGCTGCTGTACCCTCTTTAGGAGCTGTACCCTCCTTGGGGGCCCCCCCCTCCTTGGGGGGCCCCCCCAAGTCCTTGGGGGGGGCCCCCTCTTTCTTTGGTGTTTCATCCGCAGACTTTGGGGGTGGGGGGGGCCCCGCTGGTTTCTTCGGCATAGAGGGGGGCCCCTTGGGGGCCCCCCCTTCTTTTGGGGGGCCCCCCTCTTTGGGGGCCCCCCCCTCCTTGGGGGCCCCTGCCTCTTCCTTGGGGGGCCCCCCCCCTTCTTTTGCATCCGGTGTTTGCTTGGCGGTCGCTGCTGCTGCTGGTGCTGCTGCTGGTGCTGCTGGTGCTGCTGCTGCTGCTGCTTTGGGTTGTTTACCCGCGAAAATACCTTTCTTTAGGGTTGTTTGTGCTTCTGTATTTATATTTATATTTTCTTCTTCTTTGGG